TACCGGTGGTCTTTACAAACACCGAACGTCGAACTTAGGTCATGCTTATGCATATTCATATTTAACAGCTCACTAAACTGACCTTACATAGCGCCCTCTATAATTTCTGACCTAATTGTATGGGAATAAAAAATAATGCAGCAGATCATGGATCTCCCCCTGTGATCAGCGATGTTATTGACTATATAGCCTAAGCCTAAGCCTAGGCGGAAAAAAATAAATCCACTGTGGTAGCAAATCAAATTAAGTAGCAAATTTGACAATGACTATCACGCATAATTATTAAATAGTACGTAATATTACTTTTACATTGGATTTTTGTTGTTCTCTGCACATATTTCGAGATGCCTCGCATGAATCGTTGTTATGCCTCGCACTTTTGGGAATGGTAAAACGATGCCTCGCATGAATCGTCTTTTTGCCTCGCTGCCTCGCATGCCTCGCTGCCTCGCACTTTAGTACTACCCAAGTTCAACCCCTTCATTCAAAGATGGATTGTAAAACGAATTACTAATTTCACAAATGTTTTGTAAGGTACAGCATGTCTGTACCATGGGTCTAATGTTGTCTAATTCGTGTTCGTTTTCTTTCAACAAAATCCTTCATCTCCCTTTCAGTCTCCCAAAGGCCTTTTGCACGGTCATTCTTGTGGCAGAATGTTTGTAATTAAACATTCTCTCTGATCTGTTGAGACACCCTCTCCCAATGAACGGTCTAATAAGATTTGGCAATAAAGGATAGGCTGCGTCCCCTAAAATCAATAAAGGCACAGCGCTACCCTCAATTTCAATAACGTTATTCGGTGTAAATAAGGTGTGTTCTTGTAACTTTTTGCTCAGCGCAGACAGATTGAACACTCTGGCATCATGAACACTGCCAGGCATGCCGACAAATGTGTTCATAAATTTGACGTCTGCGTCAACTAGTGCTTGAAGTACCACGGAAAAAGACCATTTGTGGTTGAAATTATCCTGAGCGTCTTTTTGTGGTGCAAATATCTTAATGTGGGTACCATCAATAGCTCCCGCAACTTGTGGAAAACCCTTCTTCATTTTAAACTTATCCACATTGTCCTGCAAAGAACAAAAGTAAAGATATATAACTAGTAATAGGCCTTTTATTTTACCATTTAGGTATTGTAAAGATTCATTTATGTGAAGTGAATTTCTTTTAAAACTATTATTATAATGATCACTTACTAAAAGCTCTTGTCCTTCTGGCACACGAATGAACTTTGGCATTAACACTAATTCAATTTGACGGCACACTTCATGAAAAATCTCACAAGCAGTTAATCTTGCCATTCCAAATTGATTGGAAATTTCCCGAAAAGACGCACATGTAGCAAGCTTATAAATTGTGATCCCAATTCGAATCTCTGGAGAGAATGCTTCCCTCATCCTTGTATTTTCTCGCTGAACGTATGGCCTTATTTGTTCCGAGATGTACATAAAAGTACTTTTGTCCATTCTAAAAGTAAAATATAAAATATAGCATATTACTACTTAAGTCTATCTGGTAATTTTTAATTCTGTATTATTTTTTTAGATTTATGGATTTAAATTTGCCTACCAACAATATACCTAGGGCCCAAACCTACTCTGTGGCCGAATTGCATACAATAAAATTATAAAATTATTGAAATTAAAAAATTATTTACAATTAATAATAACAAAGGCTAATTATTACTGTATAGGCCTATACAAAAAAAAAATATAATTCAGTGTGCCTTATAACATTTTGTATTAATTTTTTAAAAGCTGGTTGAAATTAATATTGGAAAGGAAAGACCAGAGACACAAACTATGCTTATAATATTTGCCTAGGGCCTAAGACTACAGGTTATTTGTTCTTTATTATCATTTTTAGGCCTATAATATTTTTTAATACAATTGCATAGGCCTAGACACTAGTTAATATATATTTTAGCCTAATACAATATCTTAGGTTTCTATTAAATAGTGACGTACAGGCCACATTTCTAACCCCACTTGAAGTTCAGTAGCCATTCTTCATCATCCCAGTTAGTCATTACGTTGTTATCCCACCAACAGGTACTTCTCACACCTGGTTTAACCCACCATCTCCGTGTAACTACTTATTCATTTTCTAATAACTGATGTACATTACAAAGTACATCAGCTCCAACCTGTTCTCTCATGAAATGACAGATTATTTATCGTAATATCTCTTCCCGGCGAAGTTGTCGACGTCGATTTGCTTCGACAAAACACTTTATTGCCATGCAAATGCAAAAGAATTCTTCCATGTTATTATCATTGAATATAAAAGGGGTATCTGCATCAATTAATTGAAGAATAAATGGCAATAATACAGGTAAAAAACCAGATGGTAACATTGTGTTAAGTATTGCTTATGCTGTGTGTGAAAAAAGTACCTGGACAAGCTACGGTTTCTTTATGTTTTGAAAGTGTACGTGATGCCTGGTGATGCTAAAAAAATTCATATTTTGCGCGCTTACTTACGCTAGCGATCCGTTAATCACGCAGTGTGAACATCTCACTAGTTACGCCATGGATTAACGCACGCCCGGCGTTAGATACAGGTCTGAACGTAGCCAAAGAGATACTAGAGCGCTAACTGCAATGTATTCGATGTTCGAAATACGCAGAGATGTGTGTGTGTACCATCCAATATGGCTGCCATACATTTAGCCAATCAAATTTCGCCTAAGCACCATCATTTGCGATTGCGCCCTCAATTTACACAAAAAGTTCAGTACAGCTAGTTACCCGTATGTTTGAAACTCGAGCGTTGCGGTGTATTGGTGTAATGTACACGATTTTAATCTTCATTCCTTGGTATTTTATTTTTAAATAAGGTGCTCCATTTGGCCTCGTTTTGGCTACGATAGTTCTATAATTTGTTATTACCATTACTCATTATCATTAATAAAATAATAGTCAGTCAAAGGCCTAATTTATGGTAATAATATGTATACTAAGCCTGAAGGTGGCGCTTTACTACGACGACCATCTTGGATGGTACACTTACATAACTCTGCATTGCTTCGCCATCTTGTCAGCACTTTATAAAAAGAACCTACAACCGTCAGTGGGCGTCCTACGCAGGCGTGACGTTTTCAAAAACGGGAGTACGCTCTCTTGTTCTATTTACACTCTTTGCTTTGCTACAGTACTTCAGCATAGAGATATAATAAGAATACTAGAGCGCTAACAGCAATGTATTAGATGTTCGAAATACGCGGAGCTGTGTGTGAGTAATGTACACGATTTTAATTCTTTTTAATATTTGAATAAGATGCTCTACTTGGCCTCTTTTTGGCTACGACAGTTTAATAATTTGTCATTATCAATACTAATTATCATTATCAGAGGGCTTATTTATGGTAATAATATGTATACTAAGCCTGAAGGTGGCGCTTTCCTACGGCAGCCATCTTGGATGGTACGCATACACAACTCTGCATTGCTCCGCCATCTTGTCAGCACTCTAGTTGTTTAATAGCTCTATGGCAAAGATCTTATAAACACAAGATAGCGTTCTCCGCGATTTTGTTAATTACGCTTGCACGCATCAACAACTCGAAACTCGAGCATGCACGCAGCACACGTTCGATAATCGAACGTCTTTTAAGGCCACGCCCCTTTCGTAGTACATGGAAGGAGGGAGGACCTTATTTATTTTTCAGAAAAATTAAACATAACTAGCAAAGAAAATTTTAAAAAACATGAAACCAAGCACAGTTGAAAATGAAAACGTCATAATTTAAAATGCAAAAACGATTATAATAGGCCTAATAATAATTTATGGGCTAATCTTGTGATCCATCATGTTTTAAAAAGACAATTACACGCCCATGCTTTGAACAAACGCCCCTCAAATAAACGACCCCTCCAAAATGCCATTGGAATAACGCCCCGGGGCGTTTAATTTTTCTTCGAATAAACGCGCCCCACCCCCATAATTAACTGTGGACGGATGAAATGGAAGCATCATCATTTTTTAAAACGCTTTTAAACATTATTATGCACTGTAGACTACATTTTTAATGTCTTTTTAATTTTACTTTTTAATATTGTCTGTGTTTTTTTTCACTTATTGTTTGATGTATTTAAATGTTAGATTTAATTTTTAGATGTTCATTCTGTTATTTATCAGTAATTAATTAATGTTTGCATTGTTGTCTTTTAACAAATGTCATGTTTTTCTGTAATTTTATTAATTGTAATGTAGTAATGTGGTAATATAAAATTTATATGTAAGGATGTAATGTCGATGTGTTTTTAGAAGGAAAAAATTATAGAAAGTAAAGAGTTTAGGGGCGTATATTTTGGAATGTAGGCCTATGTCATAATTGACTGTGAACTCAGTTGGAAACGTCATATTGCCAATGTCACAAAAATAGTTTCTAGAAGCGTTGAAGTTTTATCTAAATTAAAATACACGCTTCCCTCCAATATCTTATTTTCGTTATATAATACACTTATTTTACCTTATATTAACTATTGCAACATTGCCTGGGCTACAACCACTAGTAAATTTTCACAATTGTGCCCCTGGGCCAGTTCTGAAACGACTAAAATTCATTGTTTATTTCGATTACAAAAGAAAGCGCTCAGAATATGCACAGGGGCACCCCCAGGTCTCACTCCAAACATTTATTTTATTATTTTTTTTTTTTTTTATTCTCTTAATACTTTGAATATCTTAATACTTTGAATATCTTTGATCTTAACAAGCTTCAAACAGCCTTGTTAATGTTTCGATTAAATAACAATCAACTCCCCTCTCATTTTCATACATTTTTCACTAACTTCTGCCAATACCATTCATAGGATACTAGGTCTTCAACCGTCAAAAAATTTATTTATGAAAGCCACACTACTTTACTAAGGAGGACATCTTTTATTTATAATGGGCCATACATATGGAACAATTTACCCGTTAAACTTAAATTAACACACACCTTACAATCTCTTAAAAGAAAATATAAGCAATCCCTAATAGATAAGTATGCATCTTAGTTACTCATTTTCCTCTATTAATTTAAATTGTAGAAAAATATTAAAAATACAATCCTCTTAATCTCATTTCATTTCATTCTTTTCTTCCTGATTATTACTCAATTTTTACTTGTTACACCCAGCAACATTTCTCTACCTTTATTATCTACTTTTATTTTATTTTTTCCCTGTTTGTTTCCTTATTACTTTTTTTTTTATCACTAGCCATTTACTAATTCAGTATATGTTTATTTGGAGGATCAGACTTAAAGCCTTCCTGGCTTATTGTTTCCTCCACACACAATGAATATTCACTGTATCTACTAAACAGTACTTAAATTTATATTGTTATCCATACTATGAAATTCTATATTGATCATTTTATTGTTATCTTAAGTTAATGAATCAAAACCATTGAATTATTATAATATGTTCTTGTATCTTGTTCATTTATTATGTTCATTGTGTGAAACAATAAAACTGAAAACTGAAACTGAAACTTCAGTGAACCCAGCCCAGCCATATCACTCGCTTTAGTATGAATCGCAGCGGAGGCACCCTCGTACGGAACGCCTCCTCTGCCTTCAGTTCACAATCATCATGCAGTCATTACCAATCATCATGCAGTCATTACCAATCATCATGCAGTCATTACCAATCACTATGCAGTCATTACCAATCACTATGCAGTCATTATCAACTATCATGCAGTCATTACCAATCATTATGCAGTCATTACCTATGAGGCGCCATCTGTTAACTTATTATTTAGCAAAAAATAACATGGCTTTTTACGTTATATATTTATATATTATTTTATATAATATATAATATTTTATATAATATATAATATTTTATATAATAT